TGTTGTTAATGTTACTTTGTCATTCTGTAGCCTACAGACAAAGTAAGTCAAAGATTTGGGGCTGTCCTTAAGTTATTAAAAATACATTCATCCTCATAATTTTATTGTATCCTCTGAAACGCACTGCACCATGTTTGCTGGAATTACAAGAATTGTCTGGAGTGGTGGTGATCAGCTCGGGCAGCTGAAATACAATTACTTGGTAGAGATCTGCACTCTACTGTGTGTTCTAGCTCTGTCTCTGTTTTTCATGAATGTAGCCAGGCAGTAAACCAGATGACGTCCCCTTTCTTAATCCTGTCAACAAAGCTCTGATTGGACGATTGTTTCTCCAACCAAAGGATCATCTGTCAATGAACAATACAGCTGACTTACTTGATTCACTGAACGCGCTGGAAATTTGGGTGAGGATTTAGAAGTCCTAAACCACGCTTGGTTTATTGATAAATAGTAGTTACTGTCTCTGGAGGAAAATGTGTTTTCACAAGCTGCACATGTTCATGTGAAGATAATCATTTTAATCCGCTGTCTCTATGATCACAAGGTAAACAGTAGAATAACACGGATCATGTTACAATGTAATCTGCTGGAAATGTGTGCTTGCATGCATTTGATTGGCACACACGCTGCTCTGCTGGATGATGTTGCCTTGCTGCCAGAGCCCTCTGTGCAGTTTTATTGTGAGTCTGAACATGGCCTTATACCCTCCAGTACTCACACTGTGTGACCCAGACCACAGCAAGAAAAATAAACACACACACGGATAGCAGTTACATTTCACAGACTGGGCCATGTTTTAACCATGTGTGGGAATCAGTTTCTCCTTCCCTGTGCTTTTTAAGGTTAGCATCTTAATCTAATCTGCACTAAACTATTGCCAAGCATTGTCACAAACTGTCCAACAGAATTCCTCCCATTTGTGAAATCTCTGGCATGGCACTCTGAAGAATTTCAGGCAGCGTGTGACACACACAGACAAACAAACGCACACCCTCACGCAGGCTGCAGATGACTGGAGTGTGTCTAAAATAAAAGCGTGTGTCTATTTCAGTCGACGCCAGTCCAGTAATAGCACAGGCGGTGAGGAGGAGGGCTGGACACAAGTTCTAATTGCAGCCTTGTCAATTGCAGCTCTCACTTTCTGCTCGTAGAAACATGCACACACACAACCACACACACACAGTGGGGGGTTTGTTGGCAGGGCTGTCTGTATCAGTTTTCATCGGTCTAGTAATAGATGCCTTGTGACACACACACACACACACACACACACACACATATACAAAACTGACAGACAGGTACTGAGAAATAGTGAGTTTTAATTTATGTGTGTATTAGTGTTGTGTGTAATCAGCACGGACATTTGCAGTGAACTAAATATTGTCTCTCCATCTGTTTCTGTTTCGTGTAAATGACGATATAACAAGAATCTCTAACTTACATGGAACTTTAACTCAGAGCAGCTTTCATCCTTTCCTTGTTTAATTCGGCCACCTTGCACCTTCAGCGATCAACTGATATTAAAGTTTCTTTTAACAAAGTATTAGCAGTAAGGTATGTGAGTGAAGCAAGTGGTTGTGGAACAGACCACAATAAAGACGTGCTTGTTGGTTTTATGCTCAATACAGAAACAGTAGTAACATACAACTAATTAGTTAGCGGCTAATATCTGAAACATAAATAAACATTGTTAGCTTATTGTGTTGTCAGCAGGGCTGCAACTACAAACTATTTTCTTTATGATTTTTCTGATTATTATTTTATCATGTTGTCTGTTAAACTTTGCTGGAAGAGGGATCCCTTCGCAGTTGCTCTTCCTGAGGTTTCTACCATTTTTTCCCTGTTAAAGTTTTTTTTTTTTAGGGGAGTTTTTCCTTATCCACTGTGAGGGTCCAGTGGCCCTCAGGGCAAATTGTGATTTGTGATATTGAGCTTTATATATGAAATTGAATTTAATCAAATTGATCTTCAGAAAATAGTAAAAAATGTCTCTTACAGTTTTCTAAAGCCTAAAGTATCTAAAGTGTCTTCAAATGTCTTGTTTTTACAGTCTAACACTTCAAAACTCAAAGATCCATTTACTGTAATGTAAGTCAAAGAAAATGAGAAATGGACCAATTGATCTGCTGGTGACTGGAATCAGCTGATTTTCAGCTTGATCGGCCATGACCGGTGACCAACGGGACAGTCTCAGATGCAGCTGATCTTGTGTCCATCACATTTATCACAGTTCATGTTGCAAACAGCAGCACAGACAGTAACTGACACTTAATGATTCAGATTCAGATCTTTTATTTAACTCTCATATAAAAAAAGATGCAGAGCCCACATAAACTTACATTACACTACAAACCATTATTAGCAAGAGCAATAATATCATGGTACAAACAAGGTTAGAAATTACCTTTTTTGTCAACCTGCCTCTGTGGCTGATGGATTCCAAAATCTACCAGCCACCCAATAGATTACCATTGATTTTGTGGCCAGTGAGTGAAGAAAAATCTAGCAGCCACCTGCATATTTTACCAGCATTTGGCTGGTGGCTGGTGTTAATTTCCAGCTCCGGGTACGAACCATATCTTTAAAATGCCTAAGCATTTGACACAAAACGAGCTAACTGAAACACTTTGTCTATAGACAGAAACTCATGTCTACATTCATCAGTCATGGAAAACAAATCAGGAAATTCTGCAGACAATTTAAGGAAAGCTTATATCTGAGATTGTGATAAAATGGATAGTAGAACAGAAAGTGTATTTCATTTTCAATCTCTCCCAGATCACAAAAGTGAAATTTTCTGAAAGTGTCCAGTCTCCACTGCCAGAGGCAGGATACCACATCTTAACTGGGCACAGACAGACGTCTGAGCTCTGGTCAGGTTAAGGGTGACATAGTGCTCCGAGCGGTACATATGCTTAATTAGACTATGCATCCTCAGTTTTGGTTTACACGAAATTTCTTATGACCATTTCTGTTTCGAATTTTCAAATAGTATTATTATTAGCTGCTGCAACCTGTGCTTAACAGTTGTAAGTGCATGCAGCACATGGTTTGAAAGCTACTGCGTTAAGCCAACTAGCAGACTGCAGTAGGCCTATACCACACAAATCTGTAACTATTGAGCTGATAAGTATCTTAAACATGTAAATGAGCAAAGTTAATGCAAACCATTTCATGTAAGTGCATGGAAGATGCATAAACACTTAGTCCAGGAGGTATAACTCTATAAAAAGACAAGTATGGGTCATCTACCCAGGTCTGCTAGTTAGCTGATTAGTTAAGAGCAGACTGCTTGGGTAGTTGATTATCAGCTCAAAAGATGCACATAGAAATGCTAATGCTAACTATTTCATGTTAATGAATGGAGAATGCTAATCTAGTTAGTTTTCTTACCAAGTAGGGTCCATGTGATAGATTCGGTATCTTACTCTGTGGCAGCAAATCATTTGATGCAAATGATTAAAAGGAAAATAAAGGTACTTGAGCCTAAAGGGAGCTGTCAATCGAGTGCTAGTTTGAGCAGCCCAGTGAGCTGTTTTTGAACTAGGTCTTCTTATAGAAATGAACATTTTTTTTCTGAGATTTTTGTGAATGCTTAATAAGACTCTCATCTTTGATAGCATATATGTATTTTTACTATTTCAAGTCAAGTTTCCATTGGCTTTGAACAAATGTTTAAAATATGTTTGGGTATGCTGCCAATTACAGTTGTTAAAAAGAAAGATAATTGGATTTTGCAAAAAGCGGAATCGGCAGTTTTCAGTTTTCAATTTTTTTCAGTCTGTTGTCATGTACACACAGGCCAGGCATACAATACACACACATGCACAAACAGGACCTATACATGCATTAAACTGGAGAGACATCAGAGTGAGGGGGCTGCCTCGGACAGGTCCCCTTGGTCAAGGGCACCTTGTTGGTCAAGGGCACCTTGGTGTGCCCAGGAGGTGAACTGGTGCCTCTCCAGCTACTAGTCCACACTCCATTTTTGGTCTGCACAGGGATTTGAACCAGCAACCCTCCAGTCCCTATGGACTGAGCTACTGCTGCCCTGAATTGATTATTTGTGTTTAGCTTATTTGCAGTGTTTTGTCATGTCTGTGTTGTCAAAGTGGTGAGGTGGTTTTCTTGTGTTTTGTCTAATTTTGTGTTGCTGTAAGTTGCAGAGGATTGAGCTCTCTCACAGCTCTGTAAATGGTGGCACCCTCTCGGTCCTCCTGACTTTCCATTCAGATGGAGACATTACAACAAACTCAATTTGTTTCCAGATAATCAAGTTCAGGTCTTCGCATCACAATCACATTTTACTGTACTGATAAAGACCAGGGCCACTTCTGTCAGTGTATGCTTTTTGTGACCTGACGCAGATGAGCCTGTCAGGTTTAACTTTCTGCTGGTCATCACAGTACTGTACTGTAAGGCTCTCCTGGCAGAGAGAGTAATATGGTAATGTTAAAATGGGTGGAATTCCCCTTCTTGCTGAAAATCACTTTTCAGCTGGTGTTTCCATTATTTTGTCCCGCACTGTAGATGTCAGCTATTTTGGTAGACATAACTTCCTGTGGACAGTCCCATTTTTTGCCTTTTGCTTCAGCAGTCAGTATCTCACTCCATCCTGTTTCCTCCAGCTCTTCTTTCCTCTTCCACCTCTTCCCCAGCTTCTTTACCCCTTCTTTGTATGTGCTCTTCTATTACTCCCTGGATGGATATGGATCCCTCCTCTGGGAGGTCAAAGGTCAGGGTCAGCTACAGAATAACAGCCATGGAGCTGGTAGATTTGGTGCTTATGACACACAAGTTTTTTGGGACATTAGTGGAAATGTTTCAACTTTCAATCTTTTTATTCTCCTACAATTGTAAAGTCTAACCCTTAAATATTTTTGTATTTCGTGGCTCGCAGTGTTTTGACCACGAAGAATGTAAGGCTGTAAGAATGAGTTGGCTTTGCCTTGGAAAAGCTCTGAAAGTTTTCCTGTCTCCTCTATCTGTTCCTGTCTCAGGTGATCAACGTGGATGGCAGTAACAGACAGACTCTGCTGGAGGACAAGCTGCCTCATATCTTTGGTTTTACTCTGCTTGGTGATTACATCTACTGGACTGACTGGCAAAGACGCAGCATTGAGAGGGTCCACAAAGCTACGGCTGTACGAGAGATCATCATCGATCAGCTGCCGGATTTAATGGGGCTGAAGGCCACTAAAGTGACAGAGACATACGGTAAGAAGGAAAGGTTTTCAGCTAATTTCAAAACAACAGTAACATGGAGCAAAAATTAAAATAAGAAAAATATTTAAAACATTTTACATCTTACGTCTTTTATCTTGTTTCCCTCTTTCGATCTGTGTCCAGGTACAAATGGCTGTGCGGTGGATAATGGCGGATGCAGCCATCTGTGTTTCTGGTGTCGACAGGCTGTCAGCTGTGCCTGTCCCATGGGGATGGAGCTTCTCTCAGACCTGCAGACTTGTGTGGTGCCTGAGGCCTTCCTGCTCTTCACCAACAGGTACGCCTACCTGTCAACCTGCAGTAGAACTGAAAAGTAGGGATGCACAATAATATCGACACGTCATCCGTATTGGCCGATAATGGGTTTAAAATGAAATATCGGAATTGGCCAACATGCTAATTTCTGCTGATATGACTGATTTTTTGTTTTTAAGTTGACAAGGTGAACATGTACAAAACATCAGGTAAATGATACAGCACAGTTAACAAAGCAACATATCTCAAAGATATACAAGTATATATGAAGAATATGAATGTTAAAAAAGTAGAATAGACAGATAACTCTCAACTCAACTCAACTTTTTTTATAGAGTACTTTAAAAACAGTGTTGTACATAAACATAAAAACATCAGACATAAAACAAACATAAACAATGAAAACACTAAAACAAGAGCAGAGTCTCATGCTGAGTTGAAAGCCAAGGAATAAAAATGGGTTTTAAGACGAGTTTTAAAAATGGACAGTGAGGGGGCTTGTCAGATGCGCAAAGGTAGGTCGTTCCAAAGTTTGGGAGCAGCAACAGAAAAAGCTCTATCCCCTCTGAGCTTCCACTTGGACCTCGGTACCTCCAGGAGCAGCTGATCAGCTGACCTGAGGCACTGAGCAGGAGTGTAGGGATGGAGCAGCTCAGAGAGGTTAGGCGGGGCGAGACCATTTTAAGATTTAAAAACAAATGAAAGAATCTTATTGAACTCTAAAGTGCACAGGCAGCCAGTGGAGGGAGGCCAGAATGGGAGTTATGTGATCCCTCTTACATGCTTCAGCTAAGAGACGAGCAGCAGCATTTTGAACCAACTGGAGACGTGCGAGGGAGGACTGGCTGACTCCAAAATAAAATGCGTTACCATAATCCAGCGGAGATGTGATGAAGGCATGGATTACTGTTTCAAAGTGCTGTTGTGCAAGAAAGTGCTTAACCTTTGCCAGGTGCCTAAGATGAAAAAAGCTGGACTTAGCTACTGCACCAATCTGCCGATCCAATTTAAAATCACTGTCCATCTTAAAACCCAAGTTTGAAACTGTTGGCTTCACATAATTTCCAAGGGGCCCAAGTCAACAGGGGGGAGGTCCACAAGAGCCATTGAGACCAAACACCATCACTTCTGTTTTCTTTTCATTAAAATTTAAAAAGTTCAGGGCCATCCAGGCTTTAATGTCTATGAGACGTAACAGAAGTGGTTTAAGTGAGAAAGCATCTTTCTTCTTCAACGGCACATATATCTGACTATCGTCAGCATAACAATGGAAAAAAATACCACACTTTCTAAGGATGGAACCCAGAGGCAGTAAATAGAGTGAGAAAAGCAGGGGCCCTAAAATTGAACCCTGTGGAACCCCATATGACAGAGGAACAGAGCAGGACACAGAACCACCAATGCTTACACACATAATTCTGTCTGCCAGATAAGACCTAACCCACTCCAGAGCACTACCACAAATGCCCACTAGGTGCCGTAACCACGCCATTAAGATATTGTGGTCCACAGTATCAAAGGCCGCTGTTAGGTACAGCAGAACAAGAATGACATAGTCACCAGAGTCATTAACCAGGAGGATGTAATTAGAAACTCTTAATATTGCGCACTCTGTGCTATGCAGTGTTTCAAAACCAGATTGAAAGACCTCCAGGATATCATGCTCATCCATAAACAACCTTAACTCAGCATGAACAGCTTTCTCCAGGATTTTTGAGATAAAAGGCAGCTTGGAGATGGGCCTGAAATTGGCCAGCATAGTGCATGTTTAAAACTTAGGGGGACAACACCAAAAGACAGACTGCTGTTAATAATGGCCAGAACTGACTGTCCTATACCAGGGAAAACCTTTTTTGAAAAAGTGAGGAGGGACAGCGTCACCCAGAGAACCTGATGGCATAATATGGCCAACCACGTCTTCTAAAAGCTACAGAGTCACAGCTCAAACTTATCAAACACAGCCGAACTAGGAGCAGAGACAGAGGGGTCAGAGGCAGGAGTTGAGATAAAAGCCCTTGTGGTAACAACCTTGTCACTGAAAAAGTGCAGGAAGCTATTGCACATTTCAGGGGATGCTTCCATGCAGACAGACTGTGGGGCATTAAGAACAGAGTCAATAGTTTTGAATAACACACGTGGGTTGTGATGATTAGACACAATAATGTTGGACAAGTGTTCTCTTTTGGCCTCTTAAACAGTGTATTGGTAACGGCACCAACAGTCCTTTAGGATTTGGAAAGAAACCTGCAGCTTGTCCTTCTCCCACCTGCGTTCAGCTTCACTCCTGTCTGGCTGCGCAAGTTCTGTCGTTGAACCAGGGCTCAGGTTTAGCTTTAGGCTGCACAGTTTTTAATGAAGCTACAGAGTCCAGTATGTTTCGGCAGGAGGAGTGACACCAGGAACTGAGCTCCTCCGTGTCAACAGATGTTGAGTCAGAGGGGACAAAGAGCTGGTCGAACGCAGCAAAGAACTGACCGGCAGTGAAAGGATTAAAAGTCAGACGGCACCAAGCAGAAGCACAAGATTTAACTGCAACACATGAGAAACCAACTTCGAATAATACAGGCATATGATCCGCCGGGAGGGTAGGGCCGAGGCCCGGTAAAGGTGATTAGGGATTCCCGCCAGGAGCGAGGGCAAAGTTTTCTGTCCACCATGATCAAACGCACCTAGATCTCTGACATTATGTCGAAGATCCAACAGGAATTGGCGATCATACACCAGCAGAGACTCGATCTGTATAGTGCCAAGGGATAGAAACAACAAAAACACCAACCAAAGCAGCAGCAGCAGCAGATGGCCAGCCACACCACACCACACCATCTCACTCTCATTCCAGATAAACATGATAAAACCCTGTGTAACGCTTTCACAGTCAGCTTGTTACTTGTTAATCACCACCAGAGCAACAAAGCAGAAAAGATAACTCTGACATGCTTGTAAATGACGATGAAAGGGCCATTAACCAAAAATAACATGTCTTAAGTGCTTATGATTTGGTTACTAACATTCTGGTGCAAAAGGACTTAGCATTATAATATAATATGAAATGCTGATACCCCTGTGTGAAGATAATATTCACAATCACCATTAAGAAATCAGACACCCAAATAAGTTTATCATTTCAGTGTATTAACAAAACTGTAATGAATAAAACATATTTAACAATAAAACAGCTGGGCCTACAGATGTGTTTCAGCACAGACAGTATAAGGAAAATAAAGGGTTTTTTTACCATGAAAGTAAAGATTTTCTTGTAGGAACCTTAAATACAAGTATGAACCTGAAAAAGAGAACAATAGGTCACTTCTTTTTACCTATGTTTTACACATGTAACAATAGTGATTGTGGGCTGGGCCAAATCCATGTGAGCTACACTCAGTATGGTGCCTGAACACATCCTGTGTAGACACAAACAGCTGCTGTCTGCAGCAGCAGACATGCGACTCACACTACTCCTCCTGTGTCGACATTGTGTTACATTTTTGTCATCATAGCTAAGTCAGAATTCATTTTGTTTCTTTAAATTTTTCATTGAGTCAGTCTTGACTTAGTTTCAAGCCTGTTTCAACTCAATCTCAAAACTGCTTAAGCTTGGACTTCTCAGTCTCAGTGCAAGCGGTCTTGACTATAGCCCTGCCTTTCATGACTCTGAACATCAATGATTGTGTGTGAAAACATAATGAATTGGTGAGGTCCTGACCTACATTAAATTTGCAAAATGCTATTTTTTCCTCAGGGACAACATCCGGAGTATCTCTTTGGGTACCAACAGCAATGATGTGGCCATCCCTCTGACAGGAGTTAAAGAGGCCTCTGCTCTCGACTTTGATGTCTCTGAAAGGAGAATATACTGGACAGACATACAAGCCAAGGTAGGCTGAGCAGTGGAAATTTATTGGAGTCTGAGTTGGAATTTATGTTGTTTCAGAAACACACTTTGATTTAAAAAAACATTATATAAAATAAGTAGGGTTGTATATGTGTACTTCTGTAAAAAAAAAAAAAAAAAGTATGTGAAATAATTCAGTCAGAATACATGTAGGCACTGTATTGTTTATTTTATCTGACCTGATTCCTTATTTAAGGGTTTTTTGGTCATTTCATGACTTTGAATTTCTGTGCCTCTCAGACAATCAGCAGAGCGTATATGAATGGCAGCTCTGTAGAACATGTCATTGAGTTCGGACTGGACTACCCAGAGGGCATGGCAGTTGACTGGATGGGTCGAAACATCTACTGGGCTGATACAGGCACGAACCGCATCGAGGTGGCCCGGCTGGACGGCCAGTACCGGCAGGTTCTGGTCTGTAAGGATCTTGACAACCCACGCTCACTGGACAACCCACGATCATTAGCACTGGACCCAGCCAACGGGTGAGAATGGAAACAACACAATTTAAAAATCTGATTGACATATTGGTAAAAATTGCTAATTTATGAAAAACCGCCACATTTTCAGCAACCTATCAATCTGCTTTTTTGGGGGGGGTTTATATATATGTAGACATATATATATGTGTGTATATATATATATATATATATATATCTCCCTCCTCAACATAATGCAGAAACACTAACTACAGTAACTAATAACATAGTCTGTCTCTCCACTGACATCTCCCTCTCTCCCTCTCCCCTCTCTCCTTCACACACACACACACACACACACACATACATGCACACACCTCACCTCTTGAAGTTTTCCTTTTAGGTCAAATACACAGGATATAGTTTTACACAGTCTGTGGCAGCAACAGTCAAGTCTGCAACAACAAAGTCACTATAGAAACTCAATAATATCTCACTGTAAACAAATCTAACATGTTAATAAAATAAATATTCTTCCTGCCATCACAATACTGGGTGAAAAAAAATAATGTTATCTTAGCATGAAGAACACAGACATCAGTATAAGTCATTCAGCCTGCTCTCTGTCCCCCCTCTACTGAGGAGACTTACTGTCTACAGGTCGGCTGCCTCGGCTACATTTTGTCTGCATTTTGGTTGCCTCAGGTACATTTCCAGATTATGTGATACTTGTACTACTCCTACTTCTACTTCTACTCTGCTTTCATTTTAGTTTGTTTTTAACAATTTGCTGTTAGCCCTGTTAGCACGATGTGCTTGTGTAGACCACAATCGTAAACCACAATAGCGGTGAATGAGACTGTGGACAGAGCAGATTGAAATATGGCTTTGCACATGCTGATCACGCGTATTGATAAAGAATTGGTGTTTTACTGGGAGAGGTTGTATTGTACTTACAGTAACAAGCATAGTTGTCGTCAATGTCTTATTCTTGAAGTTATATTTCCTTCATCTCGCTTTCTCTCTCTCTCTCTCTCTCTCTCTCTCTCTCTCTCTCTCTGTCTGTNTCTCTCTCTCTCTCTCTCTCTCTCTCTCTCTCTCTCTCTCTCTCTCTCTCTCTCTCTCTCTCTCTCTCTCTCTCTCTCTCTCTCTCTCTCTGTGTCTGTGTGTCTGTGTATCTGCGCGTGTGTGGAGGGGGTCAGCCCTGACATGCACAGGGCAGGAGAGAGGCTGCAGCATGATGATACATGAAACCAAACCTTTAAAAAGTAACGATAAAAGAGCCAATAATGTTGGAGCTTATTATTATTATTATTATTATTACGGTCTTGATTAATTTTGCCCCGGGCGGTTAAATACCAGGTCTCGGTACCCATCCCTGTTCAGGCCACTCAGAGGTTGCTTCTGGGCTGCATGTGGCCCGCTTTGAACAGCTGAACATTTGATAGAGCAGTTAGTGGAGCAGCCCTGTGGAGGTGATTCACTGTCAGACACCTGTATTATGCTGAAGGGCCGCTTCTTTCAAGGGTGTGAGTTGGTGCCAATGACTTCATGTAGCGTGCCTCTTCACTCTGTCTGAGGTAGTGAGAGTGTAGTGATGTCATTGTGCTGGTATGTGGGTACAACAGCCAGCATCCTGCCTCTTTTCACCCATAACCTCCAGCTGAGAGGGATGATGCTATTAAACCTGTTTGTTAATCACTGTTCATCTCAGGCCAAACCACCCCCAGACACTCTGATTTGCCCCTGTGTGTGTTTGTGTGTTTATGTGGGTGTTAAGTACCTGTGCCAGCGTGTCAAATTCCCTAACACATGTCAGTCACTTGGTGGTATCTTGATGATGTCATGGTGCAGAGCTGTCAGCACGCACGCCTGGAGGCACCTGATGTCATTTAATGATCACATAGCCATGCTCACACATTAATAAAGACAACAGCACAGTTGTCTGCTTTCACAGAACTTAACAAAACAAATGTTACAAAATGGAAACAGGTTCTCAGTGTGGAATAGATGAACCACCTACGTAAATATTTTATCCAAAAAAACCCCAGATAAACTGATTTTAGGGAACCTACCGTAACTCTCTCACATACAGAGATGGATAGTTTAGGCGTGTGTGTCCCGGGCTGAAACAGTGTTTTGTCTCCACAGCTACATGTACTGGACAGAGTGGGGTGGTCGACCTCGTATAGCCAGAGCCTACATGGATGGCAGCACCATCACAACACTGGTGGATAAAGTGGGGCGGGCCAACGGACTGACCATTGACTACGTAGACCATCGACTATACTGGACCGACTTGGACACGTGCATGATCGAAAGCACCAACATGCAAGGTTTGGACACAAAAACATACTCTAAGCTATCCTAATATTCTTTGTACATCAATAGGCTTATGGCTCATTTCATAACATAAAATTTCCACCTAAAAAAAACAAAACACTCACACTAACTAAATGGTGGGTGTTGGTTGTGTGAGTAGGGTAATCCTCATTGCACACTGAAGGCACACATTAAAATGAACCTAATCAAATAATTGGTAGCAAAATATATTTATTACAGTCATGGTTCCTACAGATCCTTAAAAATCCTTTAAAAAAATTTGATATTCAAAATTTATGATCAGTAAGTCTTGAAACATATAGTTGTGTGATGGGTATTAAATTTTGAGATGAAGTTAAGCTATGAGAAACCCAATCAAGCAAACATGCTCCAAATATACTCCAAACTAAATAAAATATAATTGTTTGTTTAACATGCAAGCATTCATTTAGACAAAGATGAGTTTGTGACCAAAAATCAATCAATCAATCAATCAATCAATCAAACTTTATTTATATAGCGCCTTTCATACATCAATGCAACCCCAAAGCGCTTTAATGAAAAAAAAAAATGAGCCTCAGATTTGGCTTCAATTACAGCAGTGTACGCAGGCTGGCAACATCTTTCTGACGTTTTTTTCATTGCCTCATCACCACCACAAAATACAACATGACCTGCAGTCATCATGTGATTGGCTGTATTTTTATGCCACTGCACCGGCGATAGCTGTGGCCGGAGGCATTTTGTTTTCGAGTTGTCTGTCTGTCTGTCTGTACCATTACTGTGAACACAATATCACAAGAACGGCTCAAAGGTATTTCTTCAAATTTGGCACAAAGGTCCGCTTGGACTCAAGGATGAAGTGATTACATTTTGGTGGTCAGAGGTCAAGGTCACTGTGACCTTCTTCATCTTGATCTCATGAATGGGATATCTCAAATACACCTTGAGGGAATTTCTTCAAGTTTGGCACAAACGTCCACTTGGACACAAGAATGAACTGATAAAGATTTTGGTGTCAAAGGTCACTGTGACCTCACAAAATATGTTTTTGGCCATAGCTCAAGAATTTATATGTCAATTATGACAAAATTTTCATGTCTAATAGGATAAAATTGTAGTAATGACTTTTAATATGCAACTTTACTGTGACATCATATTGCATCATATTACTGCAAAAACAGTTTTCTGGCCATTAGGAACAGAAGAGGAGACATTTGGTCAGATACTGAATTGGTGACACTAATCCACCTGTGCTGCTTGTATAGAACTTCTGTGCTGCTGGGTGTTTGAATCATCCATGTTTTATAATTTGTAGCTTCTTTGCAGCATATTCCTCCCATATTTGAGGAATTGTCTACTGTCATGGCTACATATGAGTCTGGACACACATGGATGTAAACTAACCCAACTAGTTTGTGGAGGCATACAAACATGAGGCGGTAATTCTAGTTTTTCATGTTTCTGTGGCCACAAGTTTGCATTTGCTGACCTCATCTCCTCCTGACCATGTGGTTTAAAACTCATCAACCATTTTGATAGGAAACCCTCAAAAGTGGGCGAGGCTTAGCAAATACAGAGGTGAAGTATGAAGCTGTGCAGAGGACTGTTGACCTCAACCCACTCCTCCGTCACCTGCTTTGTTGGATAGGGTCCTTCCTATGATGAGGATGAGGATGAAATTCATAAATTAGACCATGCTCTGTCAACAGCGGTTTTGCTTGTTCATATTCAAAGACACACCTCTGACCCATGATATCTCTCTGCTAGCTACTACAACCTTGGCAAACTATCAACTGCAGTTTTATATGATAGGCAGTGTGAGCTAGTTGCTAAAACAAGAGATGGTTAAACAACTGACACAAACTTGTATTTGTTATTTGACTGTGTCTTTAACATACTGCATGAACCTGGTTATTGATTACATTGCTGAATTGAGGGTGGAAGTATATTTGTGACCTTGGACATAGTAGTTTAAAAAAGATTTAAGGTCCAGTCACTAGCCTTAGTGAACCTTGAGATAAGATTATTTGGTCAAAACAAGATTGCTAAATTGTTAAATTGCAATATGTGATGCACAGTGGAAATCCGTTCATCAAGTACATTATGTAGTTGGCAATATAGGCATCACTGAGATCCATTTAATGGTATATTTTTGTTGCACAACCACTGGGTATTTGCTGCTGATGTTGTGGAAGTAATTTCCAGAAAATGATTATCAACCAGAGATATCTCCATTTATCTTCAGAGACAGAGGGAAATAAAACTAATACATTCTCAAGACTTTTTAGTTACAATTCTCAGCTCCACTGATGAGTGCAGGTTATTTACTGTTTATGTGTCGGTTGATCTTTGTCACACTAATTTCTAACTAATAGCTGGATTTGCATGAGATTTGCTGTTCACATTCTCACACCAAACAAAATTAGAAACTTATTGATTTTGGAGACTTCATGACCTTTCCTCTAGTGCCACCATCAGGCCATCTCTCAGCAGAGTGAATCTGACTCTGCACAACACATGATGCCACATGTATCCTAAACCTTTATCAGTACCAGTTATTCTTTTGATGTTTTTGACCTCTGTCATATCTTGTGTAGGCCTTCAGAGGGAGATCATCGTAGACGACCTCCCTCACCCCTTCGGTCTGACTCAGTACCGAGATTTTATCTACTGGACAGATTTTAACCTGCGCAGTATTGAACGAGCAGACAAACGCAGCGGACTCAACCGCACTGTGGTGCTGCAGGTATGGGAACAGGCGAGTGTAAGCAACTTCAGTAACCAGTATGTTTGATTTCTACTTTTATTGTGCTCCTAATTTGTTCTTTTAGAGACTTTCATTAAAATCTGGGGGAGACACTTGATACTTTGTATTTTTGGCATTAAAATGATCATTAAACATTTGCTTGAAATATCAATCCAGTCCAGAGATACTGGACAGAGGGATGTTGTATGCTGTAAAGCCCTCTGAGGAAAATTGTGATTTGTGATATTGGGCTTTATAAATAAAATTGATTGATTGATAGATTGATCTTTTTTGCCGTGACATCACTGTGTCCCCAGGGCCAGCTTGAGCTGATGCTGGACATTCTGGTGTTCCACTCCTCCCGTCAGGAGGGTACCAACGAGTGCTCCCATAACAACGGCAACTGTGCTCATCTTTGCCTTGCCACACCTGCTGGTGCCCAGTGCCGCTGTGCCTCCCACTACACTTTAAACCCCGATGGACGAAACTGTAGCTGTAAGTACAGAGAGAAACACTAGTATGTCTGACAATCAAAGGATGAATTCCAGGACTGGTTTTTGAAACAAATGAGAAAGACCCCATCCTTTTAATGAGTATAGTTGAGATGTTCTTCAACATGGCATTTAAATATAATACTGCTTTTCTAAAATCAAAGCTGATTTTCAAGCAATGGACAAGCGACTGCTGCCATTCTCTGATAAATTAACACTTATTACATCAGGACAACAGCAGTCATGTCAGACTCACCACTCTGCTGCTGTTGAATGACTGATTGTAGAACATCCTTGAAATTAGCTGTTGTATTTAAAACATTAAATTATTTCACCTCTTTTGAGTTGCTGTAAAGATTCAGTTCACAGTTGAATTGCAAAAAACATCAACAGTGAGATGGCTGGAATTTTTTGTGTGTGAGTGATTGTGTGTTAGCCCAGTGATGGACCTTGTCCCTGCCTTTCTGCTGCCATGCAGCTGTAGTCGGGAGCATCTACTGTGTAGAAATAACGGCCACCTATTGGTTTGTGGATTCATGTTTTTTGGCATTTTGGCTGTCGGCATCTAGATTTTTTGGCATGAGAAGTGACCATATGTGATCGAGAGGGTGGAGTTGGGTGGATCTGACCCATAGACTGTGGCACCTCACAGACAAACTGTCACTCAAAGCGTCTTTAATCAGAATCAGAATCAGCTTCATTCGCCAAGTACGTGTGTACATACAAGGAATTTGACTCCGGTAGACTTGCTCTATACTATAATATACAATATACAAAAAATATACAACTATACATTAAATATAAAAAATAATTTAATTATTTTTGAATATGTACAATATACAAGGAAGCAGTGTTGTTTCACCTGCCACTCTGTGACTGTTTATGAGCTCATCAGAGTGACAGCCTGGGGGAAGAAACTGTCTTTGTGAGGGGTGGTTTTGGCGAACAGTGCTCTGTAGCGCCTACCGGAAGGGAGGAGTTTAAACAGATTGTGTCCGGGGTGTCTACGGTGATGTTTCCTGCCCATTTCCTGACCCTTGACCTGTACAGGTCCTCGATGGAGGGAAGATCAGTCCTAGTACTCCTCTCTACATACCTGATTGTCCTTTTCCTGTCCAGTTTGGTGGCAGATCCAAACCAGACGGTGATGGATGTGCAGGGAACAGCCTGGATTATGGCTGTGTAGAACATGATCAGCAGTTCCTGAGACAGGTTGAGCTTCCTGAGCTGTCGTGGGAAGTACAGCCTCTGCTGGGCCTTTTCCGGACAGTGTCTAGATCCTTGCATAAGTCCCTGGGGAGTCGAGGTGGTGCAGGATGTAGTGCAGTCCCATGTTGACTGCATCATCCACCGACCTGTTTGCCCGGTAGGCAAACTGCAGGGGGTCCAACAGTGGGCCTGTGATGTCCTTCAGGTGGCTCAGCAGCAGTCTTTCAAAGGATTTCATGACCACAGATGTCAGGGCGATGGGCCTGTAGTCATTTAATCCTGTGATGGAAGGCTTCTTGGGGACCGGGATGATGGTGGAGCATTTGAAGCAGGAGGGTACTTCACACAACTCCAACTATTGGTTGAAGACCCGAGTGAAGATAGGGGCCAGCTGGTCAGAGCAGACTCTCAGGCAGGAGGGAGACAGACCGTCAGGTCCCGGAGCCTTCCTGGTCTTCTGTCTCTGGAAGAGCTGACACACATCCTCTTCACAGACCTTTAGTGCAGGTGGGGAGTTAGAGGAGAGGGGGGAGGGGGAGCTGGGGGTGCAGGTAATTCCTTTCTGTGGTTGGAATGTGTGAAAAGGGCCTTTTCAAACCTGCAGTAGAAGCTGTTCAGGTCGTCTGCTCGTCAGAGGTTTTCCACAGGGTAGGGGGATGGTCTCCTGTAGTTGGTAATGTCTTGCAGGCCTCTCCAAACTGATGCAAGGTTGTTGACTGAGAAGCAGTGGGTTTTAGCTTCTCACTGTAGCCCCTCTTGGCTACCCTGATCTCTTTTGTCAGCTTGTTTCTGGCCTGCTTGTACAGGGCCCGATCCTTGCTCCTGTAGGCCTCCTCCTTGGCCTGGCACAGCCGCCTGAGTTTGGGTGTGAATGAGGGTTTGTTGTTGTTGTCTTGGTCTGCACACACATATCCTCACAAAAGTTGATGTCACATGTAAGATGTCACAGTGTCAGTCAGTTCATTTAGGTCTATGGCTGCAGCTTCAAAAACACTCCAATCTGTGCAGTCAAAGCAGACCTGTAGCTCCAGCTTTGACTCCTCAGTCCACTTCCTTACAGTCCTTACTACAGGCTTAGAAGTTTTTAATTTCTGCCTGTAGGTCAGGATAAGATGGAGCAGACAGTGATCAGAGAGCCCCAGAGCTGCACAGGGGACAGAGCGATAAGCGTCCTTTAACTGTGTAGCAGTGGTCCAGTGTGTTAGAGTCCCTGGTGGGGCATTTTATGTGCTGTTTGTATCTGGGACGTTCGAGAGAGGTTTGCGCTGTTAAAAACCCCTAGGATGATGAGCAGGGAGTCTGGATGTTTTTTCGCCACGTCTGTCACCTGGTCAGCGAGGTGTTGTAACGCCTCCATTTCCTAAGCCATAATAAAATTTAAATGGATGAGTTTTATAAAAAAATCACCCCTGTACAGTTGTCATGAATGGTTAAATTAGCTATAGTGACCAGAACTGATGATTGTGATTGGTTTAAAGAAATACAAACAATCAGTACCTTTCCACCCTCAGTGGGTTATTATGATGATTTCAGCCAGACCTTTCTCCAGTGATGGCAAAGTGTTAGATAGGTCTGGCTATGCAAGACTAACACCGGATTTCCACTGGATGCGTGTCCGTTGAGGAACGGCAGCGCTGGTTATCCGCTGCGTGCTCCGCTGTCCATCAATACCCACCGGCTGCGTTTGCTGTGCAGAGCAGTGCAGCTCCGCCGTAAGACATCTTGGTGCACTGCCATGATTAATATCTCCTCGTCCATGGTGTCAATGGGGTGAAATGACGTCTGAAAACCTCTGACCTGTTGACTTCAGGCCTGCCTCAGCACATTATGTAGTTTTAAAGGTGTAGTGCAGGGAAATATGATCCGCCGTGAACACTGTGTATTTTATTTTGAAAATTAACTGGATGTTTTATTGTGTTTTTGTGCACAACATCCTACCCCGCACGATCTGCTCTGTGCTGAATTGCTGCGTTGTGCTCCGGAGTCCGGCAAAAATAGAAGTCCTGCATATCTGTTGCGAAGGGCTCCGGAGTGCCGGAGCTGTGACGGAGCTGGAACGCAGCACAGCCACAGCCGGTGGAAACACACACATTGACTAGAATTGAATCTTATCGGCTCCGCTGCCGTGCCAGAGCGGAGACGCAACCAACACGCATCTGGTGGAAATAGGCCGTAATGAGGATTGACCGGCTTCTGGAGATAGCCTCAAGTGGCCATTTGAGTAACTGCAGATTGTGGCATGTTGGCTTCATTTTTCAGCAGCTTGGTTGGGAGTCAAGAACAAATAGAACAGAAATGACTGAAGTAAAAGGTTAAAGGATTAACCTCAGTTGCCTCTTGCTCAACTGCCAGCACACAAACTATGTGAAAATCTGCATGCGAGCCCACACACACACACACACATTTGAATTCTTTATTTGATTCCACCAAATACATTAAATATGGCAGGGAATCAAATACAAAAGGGGTCAAGAAGACAATACTGGTCACTCATGGAAATACATAGCATCTTCTCCTCCATACAGCCAAGCTGCCTATAACAGCAGAAACAGAGCAAAATTTAGCAAGCTTTTTTGCTCTGCACTTAGATATGCCAGCAATGTTCAGGCCACTAGTGGTATATTTATACACATGGCCCAGGCTTCCACACACACACACACACACACACACACACACACAGGCTGGGGAAGCCAGCATACTTGTGTTGTTTCCAAAAAGTGGAGGCAGTCAACACTTCCTCAGCTCTTGGGACCATCATTCAGAGTGGTTTCAGCTGTTCTGATGGGATGATGTGTGTTTGTGTGTGTTTTGACCCTGGGTTTTTGTGTTTCACAATATGTGTTGAGCAAACTTGGGCCTTCCTGTGAACATTGTTCATTCCGTATACTCACTCCTCTTCATTCCTTCATCCATCCCTGCATCCCTTCTGACTCTCTGTCTACAGCTCCCTCTAGTTTCCTGCTCTTCAGTCAGAAGGCCAGTATCAGCAGGATGGTCTTGGGAGAGCAGAGTCCTGACATCATCCTGCCCATCCACGTCCTGAGGAACGTCCGAGCTGTAAGCTACGACCCGCTGGACCGGCTGGTCTACTGGCTGGATGGACGACAGAACATCCGCAGGGCCAGAGATGATGGAGCCATGGTAAAATTCACCCTGATGCATGCACTGACTGCATTTGATACACAAGTGTCAGATCTTCAACATATATCTCCTTGAACTCAGCTGCTTGCTATCATGTAAAAATACAATCAACTTAACAGTAAATGTGTCCTTTAAATGTGTCCTCGCCTTCACTAAAGATAATGTTCTGCTGTAGGCCAACTTGAAGTTGAGGTAGACTTCATACAGCTTCCTAGAAAAATAAACACTGTAGTTATATGCAGATTAATAGATCTGCTGCAGTAGTGAGACAGGGAGCAGTTTGTAAAGCTTCCCATGACTAAATATCAGTATGAGTCAAATGTTGAACTTATGACCTTGCTGTGTTTGCCTCCAGTCTTCCATGATAGTGAGCAGCAGCGTTCAGCCAGTAGATAACCAGCTTCATGACCTGAGCCTGGACCCCTACAGTCGCCACATTTACTGGACCTGTGAGACAACCAACACCATCAATGTCCAGAGGATGGATGGACACACCGTGGGTGTGGTCCTGAAGGACGACACTGACAAGCCACGGGCCATTGTGGTTAATGCTGAGAAAGGGTGAGCTCACTGTTCCACAAAATAAGTTTCATGAACATATGTTGTACTCTGTGTGTGGAAGAAAATGATGATTAGAACTGTTTATCTGTGAATTTAATGGCATACCTCTGTGTCTGTGTCTCTCTCTGCAGGTACATGTATTTCACCACAGTGCAAGAGCGCTCAGCTAAGATTGAAGGAGCCAGTCTAGATGGGACAGAGAGAGAGTCTCTGTTCACCACTGGGCTGATCAGACCAGTAGCTCTGGCTCTGGACAACAAACTAGGAAAACTATTCTGGGTAGACGCCGACCTTAAACGCATCGAGAGTAGTGACCTGACAGGTGAGTTACTGAAAACAGAAATAACTCAAATGTCCGCTCACATAACGCCCAGAAACATTCCATGAAATTCAGTGAGGAGTAAATCTGCCTGTTCATGAGTTTGTACAGTAAGATGGGGAACAACTAAAAGGCTACTGAAACCATATGATGATGATTTAAATTTAAAGAGGCAACAGAAAAATCAGACTATCACCGTTTACATAAGTTAATTAGTGGCTTTGCAATCTTTGTAATAAGCTTCTGCCATCGGTGCCGAAATTTCACGGAAAAAAATCTGCTTTGCTCAGGGACTGGAGCTGGTCCTTATGAGGAGTTGGGCATGAGATAGTTGAGTCCTGAGCACAATGGCAGACGGACAAAGTTTGGAGACAAGTGGAAAATTGTCTGTCTGAGGAGGCAAAGAAGAGCAAAAAGGAGAGTGATAAAAGAAGAGGAAAAACAAGAGTAAACCTCAGCCAGGCGTTCAAGAGATGGAGGGAGCTCCGTGACCAAAGAGGCTTCAACACCGGTGTCCAGCTAGCTTTCTTTATAATGGATCAGTAAGTAACACGGCTAAATGTTAGCTAGCCGAGAGAGGACTGTACTGTACTGGCTGCTAGTTAATTCCTAGCTTGCCAGCATCGCAAATCGCCATAACCAGGGACCGGGTAGCGAGTGTTGGTCAGCTGACATCTTCGTTGGTCTCTTTACTCATTTATTTGGGTGTCCACACACCTTCTCATTCTACATATACATAAAGGTATACCGGTAGCTTTAAAGCCTACATTTTATTGATTATCTCTGATCCCCACGGTCGTTGCGACAGTGCGACGCAACACCACTGACGCTAGGTGGCGCCAAACTAAAAAAAAAAACCCGAATCCTATCTGTTGCCTCTTTAAATAAATGCTTCATATCAATTGGGATTAATAATTAATTTCAATAATTGAGAAGAAAGCTTCTAGAAAGGTGGGGCTTCCTCTCTTCCACCAACATGATTAGTGCCTCTGACTCCTCATTGCTAAAACTTAACGTCTATCATTTTGTCCATAATAGAAAGCTAGCTAGCCAGTGACAAGTGGGAGTTGTTGATATTATGTCTTGTCCATCTTGCCTAGCCTACCAGTACATTCTAATCAAAGATAGAGGTAGTCTGTGCACATTCTGAACATAGATACAGGCATGACAGGAGCAGGAGGTGCAGCTGGAAGAATCAAAATTATATTTAGGATTAGGATTTAAGTTAAGTTAAGACAAGATAAGAGGTTTGAAATAGGAGAGGACACAGCCATAAGATTAAAATTGCTTATGAAATAGGAAGATAGGATTTTTCGTATCTTGGAAACTTAAGTTAGGACAAGCACTTGGAATATTGTTCTGTAATGAGGCCCCAGACTCCCATGACTTATTCATAGCCTCATGCAGCCACATGGAAAACATGACCAAAAGCAGACATTTACTGAAGCCATTCCACACACAGATTGATATTATTTGTTGAACTGAGACCAAATAACACAGACAGACACAGACTGCAGAGCTGTTTTGTCTATCTGTGCAAGGGCTAAAAAGATTCTGTCAGTGACTCTGGTCATATACAAACAAACCCTCTGTTCCATTGTGCTCTGTTTTATTTACATTGGCTCATCCAACCACAGCCATCGAAATTCAAACAGTATCTGTAATTAACAAGAAATGTCAAAGATATGTATGAGTTTTTCTCATGTTAAGTTCTGAGTTGGATTCACCAAACTCTCTAAACTCAACAACCTAAACAGCTTGTTTCAAACTGATGAGTTCCACCTGTTTATTAGGAGGTGCACTCTGTGAGATTTCATCATGAGCATTATTGCTTAGCATAAAATTGCCATATAAGGCTACATTTGTGGGCAAGTTTACAGTAATGTTACCAAAGAGTGAAAAGAAGAACTTCACTCTGTAGAGCTGCTACAGGAGATCTGTAAACAAGTCCAGCAGTGTCTGCAGTGGCATTGGAGTAAATATTACAGGTCAGCTGCTAACAAACGTCTTGTCATCAGAGCAGTGCTGTACTGTAATGGCAGTAAAGACTGAATGATTGTACATGAAGTTAAATGGTAAAAAGACCAATCATGGACTAAAGCAGTCCATTTTACGAAAGACTGACAAGAGGATGTGACTGTCACAGAGATATTAGACAAAAAGAATACATTAGGTGAAGTTAAACTGTCGGCTACAACAGAGAATGATCTTGCAGACCTGCAGAGAGACATATAACATTGTTCCATCTCCCCCAGGAGCCAATCGCATCGTCCTCCAGGATTCCAACATTCTCCAGCCAATGGGGCTGACAGTCCTAGGAGATCATGTGTACTGGATCGATCGGCAACAGCAGATGATAGAGAGGGTGGACAAACTGACTGGAGATGGACGCACACGCATACAGGGACGGATATCATATCTGACTTCCATCCATGCTGTGGAAGAGATGGATCCGCAAGAGTTCGGTATGGATGGACTTCTAGCTTTGGCTTTTAACATTACTTACTGCCACATGTACTGAGTAGTTTATAGCAGCAGGCTGTATTCGTGGAGCTTTGTTGAGTTGTGGTTTGGCAGAAAAGTGTGTAATGATGTAATGAATGTTTCTCCTCTCCAGCATCCCACCCTTGTTCCCGTGACAACGGGGGCTGTTCTCACATCTGCATTGCTAAGGGTGACGGAACACCTCGCTGCTCCTGTCCCATGCACCTGGTGTTACTGCAGGACCTGCTGCACTGTGGGGGTAAGCAACAAAAACACTAAAAGGGTTATGGCAGTCTCTCCATTCATTTCAATGTGGAGATGGGTGAAACACAATCGCTGTTAGTCATAAATTGACCTGCCCCCTTGGCCTGGCGCAGAGTCCAGTCTGATGAAACTTTGACACACAAAATTGCAAGGCTCTCCATTGTCCAATTAACAACTTTGTGGACTGCTATTGTTAGCATGCTAGCCATGATAGCTCCCACAGTTTTTGTTTACAGCCCAGACCACTCTATTTCCTGTCTGCTCTGCTTTTGGCTACACCACATGAGTACATTTCACCAGGTGGACAGTCTGACTGTGCCAGGATACTCACACACTGAAGGCTTCGGTCTCTATGAAATTCAGTGTTCTAACCTTTCATCTCACAGCTTCTCCCTCTTTGTCCTTTTGTCCTCTTCTCTTCTCCTCCACACTATGAACATATGTTGCCTCCTCTCTCTCTCTCTCTCTCTCTCTCTCTCTCTTTTTCTCACTGTCAGAGCCTCCCACCTGCTCCACAGAGCAGTTCACATGCTCCACAGGAGAGATCGACTGTATTCCTATGGCTTGGCGTTGTGATGGTTTCCCTGAATGTGATGACAGCAGTGATGAAGAGAACTGCCCCGTCTGCTCAGCCTTTCAGTTCCAGTGTGATAAAGGAGGTTGCATCGACGCTCAAAGGCGCTGCAATGGTGAACCAGACTGCGCAGATCACTCTGATGAACAGGATTGTGAAAGTAGGCTCACACTTGAACACACTGACATGTACCTTTTAGCAGTTACACCATCCCTTTTGTGGTTCTATGACTAATACAGAGAAATAGTTCTGAATCAGCAGAATTCAAGTATTCCTAAAACACAGTACTTTTATAGATTTTATTTTATCCAGTACAGAATTGAAACAGTCTGTGGAGCTCTCAGCCTCCCTTTCTAACGGTCTTTCAATTTTCTCTTCATAAGGACAGACTTAAAGTTCAGACTCCGTATGGGTAAAGGATTACTGTCCTTCAAGTTAATCAAAAAATGTCTACCATCACATCCCAGAAAGTGCAGAGAACTGATGAAATCTAACACCAGAAAAAAGTATTAAGATATTTATGATAACCATACAATTGATAAACAAATGCATGAACCAAAATAGAAAACCCATTCCACCCCTAAACATGACTCTCACATGTAGGGGAAAACTACAGTGCTGTCACAGTCCAATGATGGTCAGATTCGTTAAGTAAAATTAACTTACGGTCACACTGTGTACCATATGATGGGCCTAAGACTGAAAATGTCCTCTTATGTTCAGCTTGTTTTCCTTATTTTTAGAAATGCGGGTCAGGGTTCCCATGGTCCTGAAATTCCTGGAAAAGTTATGAAGTTAGGAAAACTGTTTATTTCTTTCTGTCTTTTCCAGGTCTGGAAACAGTTTAGAATTAACATGATGGGCTCGAGTTTCACAGACCGGGCGAGGCAGGGGCGCAGCACACCTGCGCTTCGCCAACTGGGTGTGGCCAGGCGGATTTTGCAAGTTTGGCACACCGTACGCGCTGGCGCAGCTACTCGTCTTTCCGACCTCCGTCCCTCCTACCTGCGCAAGTCGGAAAGAGGGAGGAGAGAAGGCGTGGAGTGGGTTTTACACACATCACACCAATCAAATGAGCCCCTCTCCTCGCCCTTAAATGCGCCGCGCAAAGGCGTAATGAGAGTTCACTCAATTCGCCATGGCAGAAGAGAGCAGCAGCGTCAGATGGCCAATATTCTCCCAGGAGGAAACTGATGTTTTGGTCCGGGAGGTCCAAGCTCGCAGTGTCCGAATATACGGAACTGCGAGCAGACCTCCACGGGCTGATGATGCAAAGGTAGCCTGGGAGGAGGTCACCACAATTGTAAATCAATGTTGAGTTTCTCTCGTGCACACGCTCTCTCTCTCTTTCTGTCTCGCAGTCTCACTCTGTTTCTTTTCTTTTGACTTTTCTAAGATGACAGATGCTGAATATATACTCCCTATCTGATGCTGTGGCTGTTTGTGGTTGGCTGAGAGGGATGTGAACTCATTAGTTTGCAGCTGTGTTAATCAAATCAGGTTGGGTTTCCATTACGCGTGCCAAACGTGCCAAACGGTGCCAATCCCCTTTGATCTGACATCAGCTGTGACGGGACAGTCGATATAGAGATACATTTATGTGCTGATTGCAGATAGTTGCATTGAATAGTGGTTTTGTGGCTATTTATTGCATCAATAATGTGCCTGACATTCTAGAAATCTGCCTGTGAGGTTTTGGTGACGTGTGCGCACTGTCCGCTGGTCAACCAAACTTCGGCTTACACCGGCTGCGCTCCGCCTGCACTGACAGTAGACCTGGTTTCAGCTGGCGAGCTTTTAGCACACCTTCGGCGAAGCCTTTTGGCACGAAACTGTCACTGCACCAAGCTGGATCTGTCGACACCTCCCCCTGCTGCGCCGCCACACCCATCTCAGTGCACCTGGGTCTGCCAAATTACCAAACTGAGTGCGCCTCGGGTTGCACTGCTCGAAACTAGCTCTGTGTGGTGTTCGCCACCCTGCGCCACCTGCGCTGCGCCGGGAAACTAGAGCCCATTGTATCAAGTGATACAGACCTACATTGTGTCATTGACAAGGCCACACTACCTCTTGTGGAAAAGACACATCAGGAGAGAAACAGGAAAATTCTAAAAAATAAAAAAGATTTAAGGCCATATCAATTTTATGATACAGATAAGCAGTAACTGCCCACTGTGTTGGGTCACTGATACACTTGGATGGGGGAAGACTGGACGGACGTGACAGCGATCGTCCTTAATTTATTAAGGTATTTTGAATGCTCAGGTTCAGGCAAGGTTGCAAAGTAATTATTTGTAATTAGTGTTGGGCAGGTTACTCTCAAAATGTAATATATTGCATATTACTAGTTACTGTCATTTGAAAGTTATAAGTGACTTTACACTATTACACCCTGTATGGAGTAATAAGTTACCTTTGACACTACTTTTGCGTTACTTTGACCAAAATGGCCGCAGAGGAACTACTGTTGATTTTAAATGGATGAGGGTCATGTTGTTTCACAGCAGGTAATCAAAGCACAGAAGATCCAGTTTATTACAGTTCATTTCAAATCCAGTGCTGCGCAGGTCTGACCCATTCATGCATTCACATACAGTTGTTACCACTTTGTAGTAAAGTGAAAAAAAAAAGAAAAGAATATAAAGACCGATTAAATAGCCTATACCTTTTTAAATACGTGAAAAGCCTTGAATAGATCAATGTCTGAGAAATAGATAAATATTTGTGGGCCTATGATATGAAACACAATAAACTAATAATGAGGTTAGCACAACAAACAGAATGGCGTGTGAGTCAGTCACTATGACGAGTGCAAACTAATAGTATGGAGCTGGAAAACCCATCTGCCAGCTCCCGGTGTGCTGGTCAGGTACAGCAGCACTTTAGAGAGAGTTATACATAAGAATGGAATGGTGTGCTAGCATGATCCGCAGTTTTAGAGGATGTGAATGGAAACACATCCAACATATACTAACATCACCCAGATGTGCTGATTACCGGGATGAGGAAAAAACGTACCAGAGGTCAGCTCCTTATCCTTACTGTCTTCAGGCAGCTTTAAGACACAAAAGCAAAATGGGATATGCTGTACGTCATTATATTAATGGAAACACACTGAACATGATAACTTACAGTACAGCATGACCCAGATGTGCTGATCACCGGCACCCTTCTATGATGTAGTCTATAGTGACCATAGGCTGAATTAATAAGGTAGTGACATGACAACACACAACAACCTTTGGGGGATGTTTTTTTCTGTCGGCACACTGTCGGCAGAAGTGGAGCAGTGTAAATGCAATAATATTACCCAAAATTCTGTTGGTAATGTGCTATATTACTTTGTTACTGCTAAAATGTAATATATTACTGTAACGCGTTACCCCCAGCACTGTTAGTAATATTCATAAAACAAGAATTAAATGCATACAAACGTGTCAAAATTATAATCTAAACACATCAGATTGCACTGACATCTATCTTTCAGATAATCAGTTTTCTACCACCCAAAAAGGGGCGTGGCCTTGACGTTTGTGAAGTACTCATATGTGGTTGACAGTTGCACAGTATATGTATTGTTTCCCTGCTGTTAAATGAAGCCCTAGTTTTTATTCATTTTTGGGAGATCACTTTTTGTGCCAGATATTTTTTTAAAAGTGACAAAGCATGTTTTTAATATAATAGGTAGACAGTAGGAAAACACAGGTGTAAATAATCAAATGAATTTGGTTCTGTTTAGCTGCAGGGTGTAAAAAATAACTGTTTAATCAAATGAAACTGAAGGCTTTCCCTCAAACATGATACCATCCAACCAGAACTAATTATTAATAAGAAACTGACAAGCATCTCCATCTCTGTGTGTCCTCCTCTTTCTTGCTCTCCTCCAGCCATCTGCCCTCCCAACCAGTTCCGTTGTGGTGACAACCAGTGCATCACAAAGAAACAACAGTGTGATAACTACTCAGACTGCCCTGACGGATCAGATGAGCTTGCCTGTGGTAAAACCATTTAAAAATACAGCATACTGTATTTCTGGTTAAGTACTTGAAAACTTTTCCCTGACTTTGTATCTTTGTGTTTTCCATGTGCAGAGTATGTGTCACCCCCCTCCAGTGGCATCCCTAACACTGGGCCTAACACCATCGTTCCAGTCATTTGCATCATCCTGCTCGTCTTTGTGATCGGGGGAGCTTATTTCGTGTGTCAGCGTGTGGTGTGTCGACGCTACAAAGGCCCCAGTGGAACTTTTCCCCACGAGTACATCAGTGGTACACCCCATGTGCCCCTCAATTTCATCGCCCCCAGCAGCTCTCAGCATGGCACCTTCCAAGGTCAGATCAGCCACATGGCAGCAGTGGTGTTATTGCTATACTTATAACATGACTCATTTGCAATGGTGTTAGTAAAATGTGTAACACTGTGTGCAGGTATTTCCTGTGGGAAGTCTATGATGAGTTCAGTGAGTCTGATGGGCAGCAGCAGCAGTGGAGCCCCTCTCTATGACAGGAACCACGTGACTGGAGCCTCATCCAGCAGCTCATCATCCACCAAGGGAGCCTTCTATCCTCAGGTCCACACACACACACACACACACACACACACACACACAGACACTGTGTGCATGCTGTCAGCTGTTTCCTGATCACAGTCAGATAACACATATATTTTCTGTTTGTAGATCCTGAACCCTCCTCCGTCCCCAGCTACTGACCGCTCTCTCTACAACACAGAGATCTTCTACTCCTCCAACAGTCCGTCCACCACCAGATCATACAGGTAACGCACATTCACTGTCTCACATAGACCAGTTCCATCTCACCAGCAAACAGCTGACAAAGCTGCATCAAGGGTTGGCCCATTGTTAGTTTAATGTTGGGCTTTGCTGCTTTTATATTTCCGGCTATATATCTCTTCTAGTATCTTACAGCCCACTGCAAGGACATTGCAAACCTATGCTGTTCAGTCAAAGTTTGCTCATTACTACACAACTTTATTTTAAATTTTAGTGACGATCCTAAATTTTTAAAAGACACGAAAAATGTGAGGCATAATTTTGTAGGAATGTGTCTAAAATGATGCACAGTTGAGACTATGTAGTGTAGAAAAGTATGGTAATTGATTTTAGTAATTTCCTGGTCTGGATACATAAAAATTAAAAGAGAGTATAGAAAAATATTCTTTTTCCAGACTATTGCCCCTGTTCTATTTTCTAAAATATGAAATTAAGAATTTCTAGAAATAAATTGATCATATAAGCAGAGTGTTATTTATGGTGTTTGGAGCAAGCAGCCAGCGCAGCCAAAATGTCATCACTGCGTGAGAGAGTTTGGACCAGAGCAAGCTGAATGTCGTCAAAAGCAATGGAAGAAATATACTGTGTGACCCAAGTGCCTTATAACTAAATCAAATCTGAACATCCATGACCAAATCATGGACATTATTGAGTTAAAGTCAGATATTGAGCTTGAATATTTAGAAGTTGTGCAGTGACGTAGTTTTCTGCGTGAGAAAGCCGCACATTCATCATTGTTTCCATGGACACAGTAAATAAACACTGATGCCTTGAAAGTTAATTTATTTAAATTTTTTATGACTGTTCGATGCTGTGGCCAGAGGCATTATGTTTTCAGGGTGTCCGTCTGTCTGTACGTACGTGTGTACATACGTCCCATTCTCGTAAATTCAATTCAGTTCCATTCAATATAACTTTATTTATTCCGAAGGAAATTCTTGTGCCAGAGAATGCTTCAGATTACAGAAACAGTTAATGTTCACAAAACCAGTAACAACCAGAACAACCAGTGGGTTCAGGGTCACACTCTGGGCCCAGTTTTTAAAACAATAGTCTTAAGTGTCAGTCAAAATTTTCAAAATATACAATATACAATATAAAAGTGTTTAAGGAGCAAAAAGCAATGTCTAGCAGAGTAACAACACAAGTAAGATAAGTACAAGAGTAACTAAAATGAACTCAAATGGTGGAAAAATGCAGATTGCACCTGATAGTCAATGTTCTATTGTATATGATATAAGACTGAGAAGTAGTGCTGCACATGATTTTGAGAAAACAATATTACTTCACTGACAAGTGATAGGGTTGGGTCGGTATGAGAAAAAAAAAACGGTCCGTTTTTTGTGAAAAACCGCATCAAGTCGGTAATACCGGATTTTCACCACTTGGGGGCGCAGTTGAGTCATTTAAAATAAAAAGCGACCTTAGGACGACAGAGTGACAGTAACACGTTGTTTCTTTTATTCCTTACAAATAAATTTTGCAGCTTACTCAATCAGTGCAAACAAGGGTTGCCTCCTTCGTCTGGCTCAAAGCCAAAGTGCTGCCATAGTGGCGCATTCCTTGATTTCTTCAAGACTAAATTGTCCGCCATTATCAACTCCCCATCACTGTTAAACAAACTCCAGGCTACAGTAGAGGCCTCGGCGCATGCGCACTCGCATTCCCTAGCTCAGTCCCCGCCCCACTCCCACCCCCCTCTTTCTCCTGCTCACTGTGCGCTTGGCGAAGAGGCAGACACAGGTGCTCACAGACTTGGGCGCACTATAAGCGGAGTTGAGCGCACTTCCGCATTGTAGTTTCCTGTAAAAACGTCCGTGAAAAATCCCTGTGATGTGAAAAATACATGCCGAGCAGTCTTGTGTTACACTGGTGCGCGGGTATGCGGTCTGGTCAGTCTCAAAAAAAAAAAAAAACCCGGTCCAAGACAGAGTACCGAACCGAATTGGTATTAACGAGAACTGACCCAACCCTAACAAGTGATCATGATATTGAAAAGTAATATTGTACATTATGTTTAAGTTCTAGTGCACCTAATGTAGGCTTATATCGTTGTCACTGTCTTCTGTTTCAGCTCTTCTCCCTACAGAAGGGGGAGGAGTTATACAGTTTGATGGCCACAAGTAGAAAAGATCTCCTGTGGCGTTCTGTGGTGCTCCTTGGTAGTCTCAGTTTACAATTAAGAACATGATATCTTAAGAACGCCTTGAGGGAATTTCTTAAAATTTGGCACAAACATCCACTTGGACTCAACAATGAACTGATTAGATTTAGGTGGTCATAGGTCAAAGGTAACTGTGACCTAGGGTACGTCGCATTTCATGAACACTGTGAGATGGACATCATAATGCTCTGCAAAAACACTTTTATGGCCATTACTCCAAGTCATATCTCAGAAACAGAAGGGGAGACATTTGGTCAGATACTGGTGACACTAATCTTGGGTCCCCAGTAGACAACAATATAAAGGATAATGCCTGACAAGGTGTCCATTATCACTAACAATGGGAGATACTCTAGTCTGCCCAGCTCATGGAACCCTTTGGCTCAGCTATTAGCCAGAAAGCTAACGTTATGCTAGCAAGATTCAGACTCAATAACATTGCATACAGTTGACAAACAGTAAATCTAATTTTACAGTATGTTTAACAACAAGGCTAGCCAGCAATCCAGCCGTGTCATTGTCCCCAATAAATATCAAGATTTTCACGAACAAACGTCACGCTGTGTGTAACGTTACTGTGTAATATTACTGTGGGCCGCAGGCTGAAGTAGCCAGTTAAATAGCAGATGAGATGTGAAATGATTGCTTAAGTTCAAAGGGGCAGTGTAGTACCCGCAGGGTGTGTTGCAGTCTCCCCACTGTGGTGTTCAGAGGATGAAGCACTGACGGACGACACTCGTGGTGGAAATTATTTGTAAACAGATTACAGATACTGATATGTATTAGGTGTCCCCTATCCGTTTTTAATGGACATCCTGTAGCCAATCAGAATCAGTATTCACCCAGACCATGGTATAATATCTTTTACTTAATATGTTTAGGGGAAATAATATCAGTATAGGTAGCACCAGTTACTTTACTTCCTCTTTGGGCAGAGATGAACTTGTCAGGGTTTGGTGTTAATGGATTTGTATGAGCTACAGTAGCTACAGTCTTCTGGCAATTGTTTGGCAATATAATAGTAAACATTATAATAGTATAATGTTAGCAGTTGGATTTTAAAACCAGTTATTTACATGATAAACATTAGCTTTTTGTACTGAGATGTCAAATATGGTCTGAAAAGTCTAGAAAATAATGGAATGTGAGATACCCTGAAGATGAATGGTAATGGGATTGAACATGAACCCTTATCTAGACAAACTCTGTATTTCCTCCCCATCAGACCCTATCACCCAGTCCGTGGTGCAGCTCCACCTACTACTCCATGCAGCACTGACGTCTGCGACAGCGACTACACCCCTCATCACCCACCGGCTGGGCTGGCGTCATCAGCAGGCCGCTGGAAGGCCTCGGGCCACGGCAGCCACGGCAAACACAACAAGTACTACATGGACCTTAACTCAGACTCGGACCCCTACCCTCCACCTCCGACCCCCCGCTCCCAGTACCTGTCAGCTGAGGAGAGCTGCCCGCCCTCCCCTTCCACCGAGCGCTCTTACTTCCACTTGTGCCCGCCTCCTCCCTCGCCCTGCACCGACTCCTCGTGACCCTCCAGCAGCCCCGGAGCCCTGTAAGGAAGGATGCAGTCCACTTGCTATAAGAACTGGCCTCGTCTGGGCCACTTTACCAGGGAAAGAACTCATGTGCCAACTTCCAGCCCTGACCGGCTCACACGTGCTGCTTTATATCAGCTGGTTAGGCTCAAGTGCCTTGTTCAAGGTTCCTCTGTCCCACATTGGTCATTTCATCATTCCAGTCATCTTGGAGCTCTCAGGGTGACCATCATCTGATCAGTTGTATGTCTGTCTTCCATGTTTCCTGCTCTAACATTCACTCAGTCATGGCAGGTTGAAGGTTTGAGGCCCTCGCTGCCTCGCTGCAGGGCACAAACAGAGATGAGTGAATACAGCCAGCAGCTCCCTCTTACATTCTCATTCCATCTAAAGGAAAAAAAACTTCCTTTGTCGGGCCACTTCTTGACTACAAATTTTTGAGACTTCCATCTGTCCGAATATACAGTAACTCCTCGCCCCATGCTGCTCTTGCCCTCCCTGAAACTCTTCAACATTGAATGAGAGAGAGTTAGCAGTAGGCACGGCTGTTGTGTGAAAGCCTCACACCATTTGTCTTCTCCTGCCTCATGGCGCCCTTGTTGGCAGACCAACGGCAGGACTGTATATAGTGTTAAAATAATATGAACAAAAATAAATCAGAGAGGAATTATTTTACTATTTTATTCACGCTGGCTGATCCACCACTCCAAGAGAAACACACGACAGATAGGTGAGTGGATATATGCATGAGTGAATGATGAATGGGTGTGTACATGAGTACATGTGAATGTTCGGCTTGATGTAGGAAATCAGATCAATTTGTAGATGCTGACTGAATTAATGTGTATGAATGAATGAGGGATGGATGGAACAGGGCCAAGATCAAAGTGTGAAATCTTTTGTACATTGTGTTGAAATTGTGTCCCTCACGTTTCAAATTGTGAATAGTGTGTAGTTGAATCTGGGGCTTTTTTGAAGTCAACCCAGAGACAAAGACTGATCTGCCAACAGTCTCCCCTTTATCCCATGAAATCACCGTGTGACAACAACATACCAAATGAATATCAACGTGTAAAGCTATTGTACATAGTATGTGTAATGAAGTCAGTGATTGAGTTGTGAGAAGTGAATGCTTTTCATTGTGAATCTGAACCTCTTCCATCACATCTTCTTCACCCTCATCATCCCGTTTACCAAAAGTATGTTTGCTGCTATTGTGTACATACTCTATCAATTACTATGACTTATAATTACACAGAAAGCCCAAAAGTACCACTCTCATACTGACAGTAGATCATGAAGCTATTATACAGTTAATAACAAATTATTCTTATAGCGACTTTTGTTATTTGTATTTCTGTTTGTGTGTAGATCATTATGTATGTTTCTGTGTCAGTTGCCATGTTTGGTTTGAAGGAGTCTTTTTGGAAATAGAAAAGTGAAAGAGTTCCAGCTGAGGCATTTTATTCAGAGCTGTTCCAAGAGTCAGCTGAAGGTCTCAGTATGCTTCAAATACATCTTCCCTCATCTCTCTTCAAGAGCTCTTTTTTTTTATGTTTCTGTGGTCTCGACGCAGTGACCTGGCCTACCTCCATGCCTCTACACACCTGGCCAATCACACAAGTGGCGTGTCTGTGGGGGGTCAAGTAGGTGGAGTCTGCACACCATTTAAAGGTGTCTCAGCTGGCATATACCCAGGATGCCCCACTCTGTTCATGTGGCAAAAGCAAGCAGCGACACCAAGGTACCAAAAACTGCAGTTCTTTGAACGGCCTCTTGAGGCTGGCTCCAGAAGCTACTCAGTCCCCATAGACCCCCATGTTGAAATGCCCAACTTAACAGCAGAAATAAACATGTTTACAGCCTGGTACAAAAACAGTTTTGCTCTCTATAGCTAATTTCCCCCTTCATCACAACTGTATGGGGGTGAATTTTTATGTAACTCAACTGTTTACATTTTATTAAGGCTTAAAGTTACGCACAACTAAGGGCATGTGACAAGCTGATAGTGTCCTCACCTTCTCAGTCAGATCCACCCCTTGCTCCACACAGCGCCAGCCTGTCAACCAAACATGGTGTCTTCTGCTTCCAAAAAACCAAGATGGTGATGGCTGAAATGGCGAACTTAAGGCTGCAAAACTGGAGTCCACAAACCAATGGTTGACATCACAGTAGCTATGTCCATTGGGCAAAAGTGTGGCATGTACACCTACCTCGACCACATGGCTGATACAAACACAACAATAACTCAATATTGCCGTTACAGCCTTACACTGTCTTCACAACACCGTGCAGTAACCACTCTATCAACCACTGATCTGCAAGAGAGTTCCTCCAAAAAGCAAAGCATTTTTAACACGGCTGCCGCTGCCATGCCAAGGTCCATAGCTGCAATGACAGACAGGAATCACTGAAATTACCAAAGATGTCTACATATTTGGAAAATTTACCAGTCATCTGAAATTTGGTAGAAATGTTATCCCAGGCCCTGTTTTTTTCTGGTTGACCTGATAAGACCCCAACATTATCAGCTCCTCCATCTTGTCTTCTTTCTGCCTCCATGATGCTCACTACTTGATCGGTCAAAGCCAGGCAGCAACTGCCAAGTTGGAAACTGCTTCCCCTCTGCTGCCTTCCCCTCATTGAAATGACTGGAGGTGGCGAGTTACCACATGACGGTGTGAAAGTCCCTTAAGCCCTAATTAGTGGAGTACAATACATCATGTTACTACTAACATTTCTCTCTGTGGCATTGTTGTCTTGCCAACAAAATAAACTCTGACCCATCTATTATTTGTTTACGGTGATGCCTCTTCTTTAAAATGTTGTCCCTTCCATTTAAGAGGTATGTTCCTCCCTCGCTATACGTCATCACTGCTTGCGGAATTGTGCCACAGCTGTAGGAAAACAAGCGCACACACTATTAGACAGTCCAACAAGCATGTGGTTTGAAGCATACTGAGGCCTTGAGTTGTGCAGTTGCTCACCTCCTCCAATACAGTGAATCTGACCAGTGAACCCTGCTGATGATAAGAAATGTCACCACGACAAACCCCAAGTCACACTGATGGAACAGCCATCAGAAGCAATATGGGGTTCAGTATCTTGCTCAAGCATACTTCGACATGCAGACTGGCAGAGTTGGGGATCAAACTGCTGATCTTCCGATGAGTGGACGACCCGCTCTACCTCTGAGCCACAGCCACATCCTGAGAAGATGAACACCGTTGATTTTAAAAAGCAACTAAACACCATGTTTAAGTTTGAACATGATCCCCTTCTGATTAAAGAAAAGATGAATTCAAATCCAGACTGTCCCACGCAATTAAGTCTTTTTAAATGACAAGTCCAGATGTGAGCACAATTTACTAACTCAAAGTGTTTTAAGTGTAAAGTCAGTCTTTACGATATCATCTCTTGGGACAGACTGTACATTTGGTCCCACTACCTTTACTGGCTTAAGGGCAGCAGCATCATGTAAGTGTTGGTTCTGTCCAAAACGTCTGGATCATGGGTCTACTGAACACTGTAGCCCCTAGGGGGCACTATCGGGGCATTACAGCTTTTTCCAAGTCATGCAGTGTGTCAGTGTGTTTTCGTTGTTATTCTCCCACCTCTGAGGCCCACTCAGATAGAAGCTCAGTGATTCTCATTATATGCTGTTGTGGTCTAGTGTTTGTCCAGCACTTATTGTTATACTAATATCAACACAAGACCTTGCCATAAAAAGTGGAAAGACATATTGTTCACTTACAGAAGAAAATAGATGTTATTATTTCCCTGGGAATAAATAAATAAATAAAAAGAAGAGGGGGAAAGTTTTGGCTTTTGGTGTTACAGCAGTATAAATCAACTTTAGCTCAGGCTCACAAGAGTTGGGAAATGGTTTTATTGTCAGTGAGTTCTAGCATAGTGTGCCATGTCATCAGAAGAGAATACACTGAGCTTCCTCTGAGCCGGCCTTGCTGCCCTCTTTGTATTACAGCAACGTGTGTGCCCACGGGATATTCTCATGTCATTCAATAGTGTAATGCTTACAAAGCTTCAGGCAGGGACATTTCTCTTTAGTCCTCCAAGCACCTAGCAGAGGTGACTGTACACATGAACAGTCCGTGTGTACCTAGCAGAGGTTTATCTGTGTTTGCTGAGTTAGACAGTATAGTTTTTGGATAGAGAAGTTGTAGGATCGTTCTGGGAGGTGGGGAACTTTAAGAACTAGCAGTAAGCTGTTGTTGTTTCCTGATGAATCCATCTCCTGCCAGGTGACATCACAGCTGCAGTGCGGTGACTGGCTGGAGATGGATTTCCAGATAACATAGCTGAAGTCGTGTCTGTATGTGTCAGTGGGAACTCTCTGAGCAGCACAACTCATTTATATAAAGGGCTGTAGGCCCCGCCTCAAACCACTGTGTCAGTAAAACTCCTTTAAAAACCTGTATTTGTTGTCTCAGTTAAAAATGCTTTGTGTAATTTACACTTGTGACATTTTTTGTATCAAAAGCATTTTTATATAATAAAGGTTCTATTTTAAGGAATTTTGTTGTGTCTGTGTCAGCTTTACTTTATACAGCTTATGTATATGTTCATTTGGAGACCAGGTTGACACCTTGAGCTGTGTGACACATTCCTTGGGCCATTCCTGAGCTGTTTTTTTTGGCATGGTACATAGTGTATCCTGCTAGTTGGGGGGGGGGGGGGATGACTACTGCCATGCCATACTGCCAGTAACTGCCATGTCGTTGCCATGAGGGGGGTACTTGGTCTGCAACAGTGTTTTGGTGGGTGGAGCACGTCAAGTGGCATCTACATGAGTGCCAGGACCAAAGGTTTCCCAGCAGAACATTGCATTGTTACAAAATGATTAATGTTATTCACTTCACCTGTCAGTGATTTTAATAGCTAATCAGCCAATCATGAGGCAGCAACTCAATGCATTTAGTCATGTAGACATGGTCAGGACAACCTGCTCAAGTTTAAACCGAGCATGAGAACGGGGAAGAAAGGTGATTTAAGTGACTTTGAGCGTGGCGTGGTTGTTGTTGCCAGACAGGCTGGTCTGGCTATTTCAGGAACTGTTGATCTACTGGGATTTTCAAGCACAACCATCTTTAGGGTTTACAGAGGATGGTCTCAAAAAGAGAAAATATCCAGTGAGCGGCAGTTCTCTGGGCGACAATGCCTTGTTGACACCAGAGGTCAGAGGAGAATGGCCAGACTGGATCAAGATGATTGAAAGGCAACAGTAACCCCAATAACAACTCTTTACAACCATGGTCTGCAGAAGACCATCTCGTCAACGATCACGTCAAACCTTGAAGCAGATGGGCTACAGCAGCAGAAGACCATGCTGGGTGCCACTCCTGTCAGCTAACAACAGGCTACAATTTGCACGAGCTCACCAAAATTGGACAACAGAAGATAGGGAAAACATTGCCTGGTCTGATGAGTCTGGATTTGGTGTAAACAACATGAAAGCATGGATCCATGTAAACTAACAGATAAGTTGTATTTGACTACCAATTTTGGTACATAATAGCATTAGTATCAGTAGCTGCTGCAAAATTGGTTGTAGAGAGCAGTTGTATTAGTGATACCAGATGGGGTACTAGTATGCAGATACAAAGTGTTCAATAGTAGATACAAAAATAGGACAATATGGTGTTATTTCTATAAAAGAAATAATCATAGAAATTAATACAGGCAAAATGTACAATGATAATAACTAATTGGAAATGTATAATAACTATAAAATTGTACACAAAAAAAAAAAATTTGCTGCTGTAAACACAAGTGCTAGATTGTGTTACAGTTTGTGTCAGTAGAGCTGGACAGATATGAGCTCGACCTACAGCTGAGGTCCAAAAGATGTTTTGTTGTATCACTGAATTTTGCATGCAAAGAGTACATACCTTCCAAAAGATGGGCTCGTCCGGGATTTGAACCCGGGACCTCTCGCACCCAAAGCGAGAATCATACCCCTAGACCAACGAGCCACCATGGAAGCTATAGAAACCGGTTGGCTATTGAAAGAACAACACAAGTTCTTGTTGGTTATGTGGTGTTAGGATGACATCTGCTGGCAGCACTAAATATGGCACGATATTGGATTTTAACATCATAAA